CTTATGCTGAACAATAGCTGATGCTGAACAACGGCTGATGCTGCATTATAGCTAATGCTGCACACCAGCTGATGCTGAACAATAGCTGATACTGCACAACGGCTGATGCTGCAGACCAGCTTATGCTGAACAACGGCTGATACTGCACAAGGCTGATGCTGCAAACCAGCTTATGCTGAACACTAGCTGATGCTGCACACGGCTGATGCTGCATAATAGCTGATGCTGCACACCAGCTTATGCTGAACAACAGCTTATGCTGAACAATAGCTGATGCTGCACACCAGCTTATGCTGAACAATAGCTGATGCTGCACACCAGCTTATGCTGAACAATAGCTGATGCTGAACAACGGCTGATGCTGCACACTAGCTGATGCAGAACAATAGCTGATGCTGAACACTAGCTGATGCAGTACAATAGCTGATGCTGAACACTAGCTGATGCTGAACACTAGCTGATGCTGAACACCAGCTGATGCTGAACACCAGCTGATGCTGAACAATAGCTGATGCATAACAATAGCTGATGCAGAAGAATAGCTGATGCTGCATAATAGCTGATGCTGCATATTAGCTGATGCTGCATATAGCTGATGCTGAACACTAGCTGACGCTGAACAACAGCTGATGCTGCATTATAGCTGATGCTGCACACCAGCTTATGCTGAACAATAGCTGATGCTGCACACCAGCTTATGCTGAACAATAACTGATGCTGCATAATAGCTGATGCTGCACACCAGCTTATGCTGAACAATAGCTGATGCTGCACACCAGCTTATGCTGAACAATAACTGATGCATAACAATAGCTGATGCAGAAGAATAGCTGATGCTGCATAATAGCTGATGCTGCATATTAGCTGATGCTGCATAATAGCTGATGCTGAACACTAGCTGACGCTGAACAACGGCTGATGCTGCATTATAGCTGATGCTGCACACCAGCTTATGCTGAACAATAGCTGATGCTGCACTCCAGCTTATGCTGAACAATAACTGATGCTGCATAATAGCTGATGCTGCACACCAGCTTATGCTGAACAATAGCTGATGCTGCATATTAGCTGATGCTGCACACCAGCTTATGCTGAACAATAGCTGATGCTGCACACCAGCTTATGCTGAACAATAACTGATGCTGCACACCAGCTTATGCTGAACAATAGCTGATCCTGAACAACGGCTGATGCTGCATAATAGCTGATGCTGCACGCCAGCTGATGCTGAACAATAGCTGATACTGCACAACGGCTGATTCTGCAGGCAGCTTATGCTGAACAACGGCTGATACTGCACACGGCTGATGCTGCACACCAGCTTATGCTGAACACTAGTTGATGCTGCACCCGGCTGATGCTGCATACTAGCTTATGCTGCACACCAGCTTATGCTGAACACTAGCTGATGCTGCACACGGCTGATGCTGCATATTAGCTGATGCTGCACGCCAGCTTATGCTGAACAATAGCTGATACTGCACAACGGCTGATGCTGCACACCAGCTTATGCTGAACAATAGCTGATGCTGCATAATAGCTGATGCAGAACAATAGCTGATACTGCACACGGCTGATGCTGCACTGCCCTCTACTGTCCTCAATGCCCACTGCACCTGCCAACGTAGCGAGCTGCTGCTCCTGCTGTGGTGGTGGTCGCTGACGAGGCGCTACGAACCCCGGCCACCCGAGTTCGATTCCTGCTCACGGCCAACGCCGGTGACGATTATTTGAACCGGTCCTGGGTCTCCCTTGGTGTAGCGGTGTGGAGTAAACATCGCCACTGGGGAGACAAAGGCGGCCGGGCGTGGTGCTGGCCACCCCCTCGTGTCCCGTTCCGGCCTTCATCGGTGCTACTCGCTAACAGCACTTGCCCCAACAGTCTGTGGAGGCTACACGGGGGGTCTTTGTCTTTGGTTGTTCCCCATCCAGGTGCCGCTGTCCAGGTTCGATCCCAGCCCTGCCGAGGCTGGCGGCCGCGTTCTGCGTTAATTGGTCGCAGGTGACCTCACAGGACTCGATACAAAAAAAACTTCAGGAGACTTTACATATTGTTTTTGAAGACACCAGTTTAATATTGTAGTGCAAATAAAAGTGACATATTACGTTGTGCTTTAACATTAAGAATTAAATATGTATATACTGTAGTTAGAAGAGTGTAGCATTGTCGCCAGTACAGGAAGACTGCGATGCATTTAGCTTGGGTAACAGAGCACATATGATAGACACATGATGGATACATGTAAACATGAGAGGCGAGGTCTGTATTACAAGGGACAGGTATAAACCATTTAAACGATGCACACCATCGTACATTATATAAACTACATTCTCCTTGAATAAATATCGGCGTGTTTGTAACACCAGTTACCTGGGCATAGTATTTTTGTAATATCGGGATGCGTGGTGTCTCTACAACATTTACCACTTCGCAACGCCTCGCTTGAGTTCGGGAATGGTATCTGGTAGCTATATGGATTGTTGTTGTTGCTGCTGCCGGTGGTGGAGGGTGTTGCAGGTGAGGGTGTTGCAGGTGAGGGTGTTGCAGGTGAGGGTGTTGCAGGTGAGGGTGTTGCAGGTGAGGGTGTTACAGGTGAGGGTGTTACAGGTGAGGGTGTTGCAGGTGAGGGTGTGACAGGTGAGGGTGCTGCAGGTGAGGGTGTGACAGGTGAGGGTGTTGCAGGTGAGGGTGTGACAGGTGAGGGTGTTGCAGGTGAGGGTGTGACAGGTGAGGGTGTGACAGGTGAGGGTGTTGCAGGTGAGGGTGTGACAGGTGAGGGTGCTGCAGGTGAGGGTGTGACAGGTGAGGGTGTTGCAGGTGAGGGTGTGACAGGTGAGGGTGTTGCAGGTGAGGGTGTGACAGGTGAGGGTGTGACAGGTGAGGGTGTTGCAGGTGAGGGTGTTGCAGGTGAGGGTGTTGCAGGTGAGGGTGTTGCAGGTGAGGGTGTTGCAGGTGAGGGTGTGACAGGTGAGGGTGTGACAGGCGAGTGTGTGACAGGTGAGGGTGTTGCAGGTGAGGGTGTGACAGGTGAGGGTGTTGCAGGTGAGGGTGTGACAGGTGAGGGTGTGACAGGCGAGTGTGTGACAGGTGAGGGTGTTGCAGGTGAGGGTGTGACAGGTGAGGGTGTGACAGGTGAGGGTGTGACAGGTGAGGGTGTTGCAGGTGAGGGTGTTGCAGGTGAGGGTGTTGCAGGTGAGGGTGTTGCATGTGAGGGTGTGACAGGTGAGGGTGTTGCAGGTGAGGGTGTGACAGGTGAGGGTGTGACAGGTGAGGGTGTGACAGGTGAGGGTGTTGCAGGTGAGGGTGTGACAGGTGAGGGTGTTGCAGGTGAGGGTGTGACAGGTGAGGGTGTGACAGGCGAGTGTGTGACAGGTGAGGGTGTTGCAGGTGAGGGTGTTGCAGGTGAGGGTGTGACAGGTGAGGGTGTTGCAGGTGAGGGTGTTGCAGGTGAGGGTGTGACAGGTGAGGGTGTGACAGGTGAGGGTGTTGCAGGTGAGGGTGTGACAGGTGAGGGTGCTGCAGGTGAGGGTGTGACAGGTGAGGGTGTTGCAGGTGAGGGTGTGACAGGTGAGGGTGTTGCAGGTGAGGGTGTGACAGGTGAGGGTGTGACAGGTGAGGGTGTTGCAGGTGAGGGTGTTGCAGGTGAGGGTGTTGCAGGTGAGGGTGTTGCAGGTGAGGGTGTTGCAGGTGAGGGTGTGACAGGTGAGGGTGTGACAGGCGAGTGTGTGACAGGTGAGGGTGTTGCAGGTGAGGGTGTGACAGGTGAGGGTGTTGCAGGTGAGGGTGTGACAGGTGAGGGTGTGACAGGCGAGTGTGTGACAGGTGAGGGTGTTGCAGGTGAGGGTGTGACAGGTGAGGGTGTGACAGGTGAGGGTGTGACAGGTGAGGGTGTTGCAGGTGAGGGTGTTGCAGGTGAGGGTGTTGCAGGTGAGGGTGTTGCATGTGAGGGTGTGACAGGTGAGGGTGTTGCAGGTGAGGGTGTGACAGGTGAGGGTGTGACAGGTGAGGGTGTTGCAGGTGAGGGTGTTGCAGGTGAGGGTGTTGCAGGTGAGGGTGTTGCAGGTGAGGGTGTGACAGGTGAGGGTGTGACAGGTGAGGGTGTTGCAGGTGAGGGTGTGACAGGTGAGGGTGTTGCAGGTGAGGGTGTGACAGGTGAGGGTGTGACAGGCGAGTGTGTGACAGGTGAGGGTGTTGCAGGTGAGGGTGTGACAGGTGAGGGTGTGACAGGTGAGGGTGTTGCAGGTGAGGGTGTTGCAGGTGAGGGTGTGACAGGTGAGGGTGTTGCAGGTGAGGGTGTGACAGGTGAGGGTGTGACAGGCGAGTGTGTGACAGGTGAGGGTGTTGCAGGTGAGGGTGTGACAGGTGAGGGTGTGACAGGTGAGGGTGTTGCAGGTGAGGGTGTTGCAGGTGAGGGTGTTGCAGGTGAGGGTGTTGCAGGTGAGGGTGTTGCAGGTGAGGGTGTTGCATGTGAGGGTGCTGCAGGTGAGGGTGTTGCATGTGAGGGTGCTGCAGGTGAGGGTGTGACAGGTGAGGGTGTTGCAGGTGAGGGTGTGACAGGTGAGGGTGTGACAGGTGAGGGTGTTGCAGGTGAGGGTGTGACAGGTGAGGGTGTTGCAGGTGAGGGTGTTGCAGGTGAGGGTGTTGCAGGTGAGGGTGTGACAGGTGAGGGTGTGACAGGTGAGGGTGTTGCAGGTGAGGGTGTGACAGGTGAGGGTGTTGCATGTGAGGGTGTTGCAGGTGAGGGTGTGACAGGTGAGGGTGTGACAGGTGAGGGTGTGACAGGTGAGGGTGTGACAGGTGAGGGTGTTGCAGGTGAGGGTGTGACAGGTGAGGGTGTTGCAGGTGAGGGTGTTGCAGGTGAGGGTGTGACAGGTGAGGGTGTTGCAGGTGAGGGTGTGACAGGTGAGGGTGTTGCAGGTGAGGGTGTTGCAGGTGAGGGTGTTGCATGTGAGGGTGTTGCAGGTGAGGGTGTTGCATGTGAGGGTGTTGCAGGTGAGGGTGTTGCATGTGAGGGTGTTGCAGGTGAGGGTGTGACAGGCGAGGGTGTTGCATGTGAGGGTGCTGCAGGTGAGGGTGTTGCGTGACCCGGGGGCTTCATCCCAACGCCCGTGGTCAACATGGCCCACGGTCAACATGGCCCACGGTCAACATGGCCCACGGTCAACATGGCACGTCACGTTCCGGAGGCCGAGCGCCGTGGAGGGAAAGTGTCGCCAGAGGCAGCGTGGCCGTGGCCGTCCTCGCGCGCGTACTGCGCCGCCGCCGCCGGCTCGCGGCCCAAGGCAGACAACCGCCCTGGTAAATACTGCCCGGTTAAAAACTTCACGTGACGTGCGCCGGCAAATCATGGTCTAAACGTACAAAACATTTATATTTACTCTCACATTGCCTCATTGGGTAAAGCTACATGACAACTTCTGCTGCGAACCTACGGACAACGTGCAGCATATGCACCATATGCTGGACGCGATAGAGATAGCTTGAACAGTCCGGCTCCCAATCCCTTGGTCGTGCTAGACGGTCACCCCGTGACGGCGCCGCTGGAGGGGCCACGGAGCCACCGTGTTGGTTGTCAAACGGCCTGCAAGCGTGCGTGTGCCTCGGTGGTGATTAATGTTTGGACCAACGTCTCTCTCATGCAGAGTAAATGTTGCCACATTGAGATGCCGTTACGTCTGTGCACATGTACAACCCTTATCTCAATCCACTGCAGGATGAGTCACGGGGGTTGCTTGACTCCACTTCACCACACTGGTCAGTGTGGTTGGTGAAGACAGGTAGCATAGAAGTAAAGTACAATGATGGATTATGCCGCACTGCCATCTGCTGCCCACGACTTAGCCCCTAAGCGTGATGAGAACGTTGTGTGTGCGTCCATCTCTGCACTCTCCAGGTTCCCGTCTACTTCCCATCGTAGATCTGATGAGACGGGTACTTTCTGAGTGAGTTGGTCATTAGTTAACATAGGCAATTCCTATCATCATCATCACGAATGCACCACAGTATTGGCTACACCGTAGTTGACAAGCATCAGAGTTCTGAGGTTATGGAAATCACAGCATCAGGGAAAGTGCAACATTTGCGTACAGTTGTTGTTCCTTTACAGGGAAGAATTCTGCAGTCCGTGTGCATTCTACAGCATCCACCGATCGCGTCTGTATGGTGTGCAGTACTTCTTCTTCTTCTGTCGTACGGCGTGGTGCAGAGATAAGCGACCGATGTTCGCGATGGCCACAACCTCCACGTCTGGCTTCTGCCGCCGTCTCACGGCGCCGGCCGTCGGTGGCGAGTCTCTTCGGCGCTTCCGTTCGGGGCTCTCCATGGTCGGCCGGCAGTCGACCGCACGCCACATCGGCCGTGCAACGTCCGTCGTTCAGAGTTTTTGGGCGATCGAAAAGCCGGGAAGGCTCGCAAACCCCCGACTCGTATTTCGCGCCGATGGGTAGCAGGGGACCCCACGGGGGTCCTGCTGCGAGCGAACGCGAACCGCCCGGCGTCTGATCTCGGCTCAAAGTCGCGTCACCCGCGGCCGTGCCGGGCCACGCACGGCACGGCCCTTCTGGCCCATGCCTCCGCCCGCAGAGGCCTCTCGTGCCAACGGAGCTCGATAGGAGCAGTAGATGCGGATGACGCTAGCTCACAGCTCGCTAGGAGCAGTAGATGCGGATGACGTTAGCTCGCAGCTCGCTAGGAGCAGTAGATGCGGATGACGTTAGCTCGGAGCTCGCTAGGAGTAGTAGATGCGGATGACGTTAGCTCGCAGCTCGCTAGGAGCAGTAGATGCGGATGACGTTAACTCGCAGCTCGCTAGGAGCAGTAGATGCGGATGACGTTAGCTCGCAGCTCGTTAGGAGCAGTAGATGCGGATGACGTTAGCTCGCAGCTCGCTAGGAGCAGTAGATGCGGATGACGTTAGCTCGCAGCTCGCTAGGAGCAGTAGATGCGGATGACGTTAGCTCGCTAGGAGCAGGAGATGCGGATGACGTTAGCTCGGAGCTCGCTAGGAGCAGTAGATGCGGATGACGTTAGCCCGCAGCTCGCTAGGAGTAGTAGATGCGGATGACGTTAGCTCACAGCTCACTAGGAGTAGTAGATGCGGATGACGTTTTTGCACGGGCAGCGACACAGGGGGCACTCACAGAGCAGCGTGGCGCACGTCTCGCACACGCAGTAGTGCCCGCACGGGACGAAGGCGGCCTGCCGCGGCCCGTGCATGCACACGACGCACTCCGTGCCGACCGGCGTGCACGCGGCGCACAGGGAGACGTCGCGTGGCGGTGACGGCGGTGGCGGCGGTGACGGCGGTGGTGGCGGTGTGCGGAGCGCCAGGGGCGCGATCGGGAGAGTGACACGTGCGGAGCTGCGCCCCGAGCAGACGGGCGGCTGGACGGTCGTGCCTGTTGGACACAGACACGGGTCGAGCATTCGCTGTGAACTCTCAATGGCATTGCGCACGCGTGACCGGTAAACCCAGTGCTTGCACAAGAGACGATTCGATGCAAAATGTTGAAATCTCTCCGATGTGTACGCCACGATGTCCGACGTTTCGCTACCGCGAGCCGTCGGACGCCGTGCGCCGAACAACACACGGCACAACCCAAACCCACAGCAGAGGACTGTCCTGTCCAGCACGGCCGTGAAGACCGACGCGGTGGTAATTTGGCTTTGTGAATGTTTCGTCTCGCCGAACTTCTCTTACTGGTGCCGATCGCAATGCCAGTTCGGGCCACGTGCTGGGATTCCTCACACCCAGCCGACCCGAGCCCCAGCAGTGGAAGTGAACGGGGAGCTCCCTTGGCCATCGCTCGCAAGCCGCGGCTGCTGTTGGAGCAGCCGCGCCTGACTTTGGGTAGCGCTTGGTGTGGCGATGGCGACCAAAATTCGACTGAGAGCGATATAAGAATACATTTGAACAAACTCGTTGTTCTTGTCAAGAAAGTACTGCAGGCGTACAGTTGCACGCAAAGTGGCACACACACCTCTACTAAAGTATCTGGTTGGGCGGCTTTGATTTGTTTTGTCATAGCACTGTGAAGTTGCGTGCATGATTTCCTTCTACTTAAATGTCCCAAAATCTCGTGTAAATTTTAAAGAAGTCTCCGAAGAGAGGGCCAAATGACAACGGCTGCAGCTGAGTAAATCAGATGAGGGGAATGAGAACGTGAAGAGTTTCCCTTAGGGGATGAAGTGGCTAAAGAGAGGAGAGAGTTGGAGGGAGAGTTGAGCGTGTGGGGATGGGGCTCGGGAGAGAGTGGCATTGGCACGAGGGGGGAGGCCAGGCTGAGCTGCATGTGAAGACTTCTCAAAACTCGTCAAGGAGCGTAAACCCCCCGGTCACCCTCGCAGCGGCGGCTCTTGGTTTGTCACCGGGCAAAGGCGGCGGTCACCGCGTCGCGCTGCGCTTTCAGACGCGCTTCTGCGGCCGTCTGGAACGCTCTTTCCTTCCGATATCAGGAAGCCACTGAAGCTATGCACTTATAAATCTAGATTGAAACCTCATGTCTTTTGAACTGCGTTTGGTGTGTTAGTTTGTTGTCCTTCCCACGGTTGGCTACGTACGGTGCTAAAGAAGTTCAACGTACGCACGTGCGAACCTCAAGTTCCGTTCACCTCGCGTGATTTTGACGAAAGTGACCGTAGCCCCCGGTTGACAAACAAAGACGCGGACGCAGGGACGCTGCAGGGGGGGGCGGGAGGGGGTGGGGACCCTGTGTGTGAGTGCGCGAGAAAGAGCAGCCGCAGCAGCAGCGCACCGAGGAGCTGCACGTCCCGCGTGGTGCCGTACACGTCCACGACGGCCCAGAGCGGAAGCCGCGCCTCCACGCGTCCCTTCAGGCGCCAGACCCTCGCGCTGCCGCGCCGGCGCGAGCTCCCGGGCAGCCAGGCGCTGCAGAACATGCTGCCGTCCGCCTGCACCCAGAAGGCGATCTCGGCACCCTGCACGGCCAACTCCTCGGGCACGCGGTCCGCCCAGCTGCCGCGCTGGTCCACCAGGTCCGGCAGCGCGTACGGTGGCAGCGCTGCACGGGCGCGTGGTGGTGTGGTGGGGTGGGGGGAGAGAAGGCGTGTGGGTTAGGCGGATGACGAACGCGGTTTTTTCCGGCGAAGGCCGGAGGTGGTCGTTTTGGTTAAAATTGCTCGCCGCGATCGGCCGGCTCGCGTGGGGCTGAACGGCTTCGATTGCGGATGCTGCCACGGTAGCGTGGGTTCTGGGTGGCGGCGTTGACGACACCGGCACGTCGTCGTCACGTGCTCGGTGGACAATAGAGAGGACTTCATGCAAAGGTGCAGTCCTTTGACAAAAAAAACCCCAATGTGTTTGTGTTGTGCATTGCCCCACGACGCTATCCGGCTTGGTGCGGCTCCCTGGAGGCAGCTGTCCCGCGACATCTTTACGTCTTCCCAGGTCGTTATAAGCCCGTTGCGTGACAATAGACCACTCAAGGTTCGCACAACGTTACTCGGTGCTGGCCCGCAATGGTGCGCGGTTCGGGGTGACTGCTGCAAAGTGTTTCCCAATTGGACCGCGTGACACTGGCACACGTGGGCCTACTTTTCCCAATTGGACCACGCGACTTCACTTTTCTCCGAAATCACAAAATCACGAAATCTGCAACATCCACTGGTAAGCAGCGTTGGGGCGCTTCACGCTCCCGGCAGCGTTAACCGGGGTCGGCCGTGTTTGGCTGAACCCGCGGAACTTCTTCTGCGACCGCCTCGAACCGCGGGGGGGGGGGGGGGGGGTGGGGGGTGGGTAGGTCGGCACGAGGGGGCGCGGACTCACGCAGCGCCATGGTGTCGGGGTCGCGGCTCGTGAACCCCACGCGCAGCGCCCCCTGCCACTCGGAGTCGCGTGTGCCCAGGCGCACGTGGACGCGCTCGCACGTGCGCACGGGCCGCGCGCTCAGCGCCAGCCCCCCGCAGAAGCCCTTGCGGCGCGTGGCGCGCGTGCCCCGCTCGTCCAGGCGCACGTTGGCACCGCGCACGGACGCATGGAAGTGCAGGTCGGTGCCTGGTGCGAGACGGGATGGGCGGGGGGGACACGGGGATGAGAGATAATGATGATAATTATTACATTCTATAGAGCGTGATTCGTGCCAACAACATCCCGCGACGCTGTGCATTAATTATATTTAAGGGCCAAATCACATATACGTGGTTGGGTATGCACGGTGAGAAATAAGCCCAACACACACACAGGTAGCAAGCAAATGAAAACCCTAATTCAAAGCGACATAAAAAATGAACAAACAAAATTTCAGAAATGTAACCGGAAAAGGCACAAACAACAACAACTACAACAATTATCAACACAAAGGGATGGGAGAAAGCAATGCTTATATATTTTAATTTATTCTCTTTACGTATCGTTTACAAGTGTGAGTTTTTCGTTGCAACGTTTGTCTTTGTAAATGTGTTATCGTAACGCGTGTGCAGTGGTCTTACGCTTGGCAGTAATAAAGGCGCTCTACAGATAACGATTATTAATAATGATGCAAGCGGATTGCGCATCAAGACGCCACTGACGCCAAATGTAAATAATGAGCTCATTGGAAGTTGTGGGCACATTGCGCGCGGATGTCTTGTGGCTGATCTGTCGCTGAAAGACACCGCAACAAGTGGATGTCGTGAACACGTGGGGCTGCGTGCATTCAATGCGTTCGCAGGAAGTTCTCTAAACGCGTGCTGTGGTGAAGCGGTGTCGCAATGGGGTTCTGGCTACCCGAGTTGGATTCCTCGCCACGGCTAACATCAGTGGCACGCAATGTCTAAACCGGTCACCCCCCTCCCCACCAACCCGCACTGCCCAGCCTGGTGAAGTATGGCCACTCACTGACATGGCATCCAGCAGTGGATTAACAAAGGGTTGCGCATTTTAATATTTATTCCAGTATTCTGTCCACTGAACAAGGGTAGAGTTCACGAGCGTACACACAGGAGACGTATTATGACGTGCACAGAGAGGATAGTGTAAGGAGGTATTTACATAAATTTCCACGTGACAAGCCACTCCGTTTAGCGATCGTTTGTGATAGCCAGGTGGCGTCTGAATAAGAGCTGTACATAGCTCAGTGGGGCTTACCTAGAAAAACTAAAATATTTAGAGTTTTAACAAAACAGCGACGAATGCAGTAAGAGGCTGTACACACCCTAAACGGAAGTGAATTAAAATGTTACAACTGCTGTGGATAAACGTGATTTCTACTGATTATTTGAGGACGACAGCGCATTTACATCGGGTCAATTCTATCGGCTCGTCACGCCGTGAGAACAGCCCAGCGCCTTGCCACACGGTTAGCGCATCACTCCGCACTTCCAGGTGCGCTTCTGCGGCCGTCTGGAACGCTCTTCCTTCCGATTCTAGGAAGCTACTGGCGCTTTGCGCTTTTAAATAATAATCATCATCTAGATTGACAAACTCGTTTTTTTGGAACTGCTTTTTGTGTGTTAGTTCGTTGTCCTTCCCCCCACACCTCCGATTAGCACGGTTGGCTACGCATGGTGCGAAATAAGTTCAACATACATCACTATACACTACTATACCCTACACTAGGCACACTTTGCTATACACTGACAAATACAAAACTATACTAAATTTAAAACTAATTACTTTTTACCTGCTTTTTGCTGTTGTGTTTAGTTTGTGTTGTTTCATTACTTACTGCCAGCGCGCTAAAATTAAGTAAAACAAGCATGCATGCAATTGGTATTTGCAAAACACTCCCCAACGATTACAGAAATGATGACCTGTAAAAATTACTCAGTTGGGGAACAAGCAGAGCAGCATTGCCCCCTGCTGAGAGAACTTGACAGAGCCCTCTTAAACAGAGTATCTCTCTCTCAGCGGGCAATCACTAAATGGAATACAAGCCGCTGAACTTCGAATCCCCAATAATAATAATTCACGAAGCACCTGATCGTCACTTTGGAGGAAACCAACATTTCCTGTGCCGAGTAATTAACACACGGGGTTGTATTTCCCGGCAGATCGTATCTTAAATTAGTTTGTGAAACTGGAACGATTACGTGGTTCAAGGCATACGTTCGGTTTTGTTTATCGCGTTGCTTTGTCTCAAACCAAAAAGAAACGCGTACACCTCCGCGGGAGATATCAAACAAACATCAACACGCGACATCGTGTCAACACCGGGGCTGCGATTCATGACATCACCGGACACCGCCGCCTGCCACACACAAACCCGTTCGTCTGGTCAACTCAGTCATCGCCTTTGCCATTATCCACAAAGGGCACCGAGGTAGAATAATAATGCACTGCACAGGACGAGCTCAGTGGGACTGATGCCACGCATTCGGAATAACTTGACACATACATGTACGTGTTTACATTCTCGTCACTCCACTGCTGGATGAAGGTCATGGTGAGGGGGGGGGGTGGTTGATCGACCATATGGTAGGGGTGAGTTCATCCCCAGGACAACCACCGTTGACTTATCTACTCGGCAGGAACGACGGACCCTCAATTGCGAGTCGCTCGCCCTCGCGCCCGGCCGGTTACTGTGTCCCCCCATCTCGGAATGAATGCAGGGAACGACCGAGCGAGAGGAAGGATAGACGACGACTCTTGCAACGGCGAGGCAAACCCGGCATAGCTTCAGCGTGCGACCAGCCTCGCGTGGAAACTCTCGCCGCTGGCGCATGAGATCCACCCGCATGTGAAGAGACCTCGTGCGTCCCAGCACCACGCGTGCTCGTGCAGAGCCACGCAGCAGAGACACGGCCCCGGCACAGCAGCGTGGAGGGGGGTGGCCTCAGAGCGAGCCCACGTGGCACGGCGCTGCCATCCACACGTCGCCCCCTCCCCCACCCTTGCTGCTGAGCTGCTCCTCGCTTCGCGATCGCCCCTAGGTCTATTGAGCCATCAGTGAGCCATCGGAGCCAGGGTGTCCATTACTCCAGGGCACGGAAATATCCAGCGCAGCGACGGCAGCCACAGCCTCGATATCTCCTCGCTACTCGCCAGGGCGAGGCACGGGCCGAGCTCTCCACGCGGCAGGCAGACGCACGGGGCTGGCAGGCGCCGGTGAGCCCAGATGGTGGCCGTCGACATCACTACCAAGAGGCGTGGGAATGAGCACAGAGGAGGCTGTGTATGTTGAACTTCGTTCGCACCGTACGTAGCCAACCGTGCTAATCGGAGGTACTTTTGTTGAATGAGGGTGACTTTAATCCAGGTCAGGCGTCCAGGCAGGATCGCGTATCGGTGAGCTCAGCTTGAAAATGGCGCTCGTGGAGAAGACCCCAGGGAGACTCAACGTGAATGGAATCCACGCCGAGGTCGTGCCACCTTGGAATGAGTGTCCACGTGGGAGTGGTTCTGGTCTTAGTTGGAATGAGTGTCCACGTGGAAGTGGTTCTGGTCTCAGTTGGAATGAGTGTCCACGTGGGAGTGGTTCTGGTCTCAGTTGGAATTAGTGTCCACGTGGGAGTGGTTCTGGTCTCAGTTGGAATGAGTGTCCACGTGGGAGTGGTTCTGGTCTCAGTTGGAATGAGTGTACACGTGGGAGTGGTTCTGGTCTCAGTTGGAATGAGTGTCCACGTGGGAGTGGTTCTGGTCTCAGTCGGAATGAATGTCCACGTGGGAGTGGTTCTGGTCTCTGTTGGAATGAGTGTCCACGTGGGAGTGGTTCTGGTCTCAGTTGAAAAGAGTGTCCACGTGGGAGTGGTTCTGATCTCAGTTGGAATGAGTGTCCACGTGGGAGTGGTTCTGGTCTCAGTTGGAATTAGTGTCCACGTGGGAGTGGTTCTGGTCTCAGTTGGAATGAGTGTCCACGTGGGAGTGGTTCTGGTCTCAGTTAGAATGAGTTGTCCGATGGAGGCCGTTCCCTTTCCTACAGGGATATTTAATGACGACACCCAAGTCTCTTGTCGTTGTGATGGGGCCTGGAGAGTAGCTTCGTGGCAGCCTGTCCAACTCACGAGCAGCGCTGCCGAGTCGCCTATGAATTGGAGGCTAAGGGTTGGCGGATCATGAAGTCGCGTGAGAATCCCACACATTGTAACTTTACTTGATATTCTGCTCACGTGGCTCCAGGTGGTACGCGCGACGCATGCCGCGTGTCCGTCGCGTCTCGATGCGGAAGGCATCTCGCATCTTCGAACGCTGTTCGAGTTGGGAGTGCGACCTCGATCGCTTTTACGTTTGGCGGCCAATCGGTCAGCGGTTCGAGACGGAGGCAGGAGAAGAGAAACACCAACGGGCGACCACAAAGACTGGGTGAATAGTAACGGCAGGGGGGCCGTTCTGTATGTTTATTTTCATGTATTTTTTTGAATCACCGCTGCGGGCAGTTGGCTCTGCGGTTGTGAGAGGGACCCCCCCCCCCACCGCTACCCCCCCCCCCCCACCGCTACCCCCCCCCCCCCGCTCTCTGCGATTGTGCCCGCGACGCCACACGAGCGTGCGAACGCGTCCCGACAAGCGCGGGCACGAGTGGAGGCGCGATCGCCTCGCGTCTCCACTCCACCACGGCGGCTCCCCCCACCCCCCACAGCTCTCGCTGCCTCGCTCGCCGTGCCTCGCCGCATTCACGCTTCTACAACAACACGCACGTTAAGTTATTTCTCTTTTTTTTTACAATAACACCCCTTCAAAAAATTATATATATTATTCCCCGCGGTCGCGTGGATTTTTCTGCGGGTCCTGTTTTTTTCCCCTCCACATTTCGAATCAATATGTATTTGGCGGTATGATGTATTACTAGCCTTTTGCCCGTCCAAGGACGGGTGTATTGCAGTAAATGTGAAACTTGCAAGCGACAAGCAGACCGCGACGTGATATTCATTGCATCCATTCGTGTGCAATTTGTAAGGGCGCGGTGACACAGAACTATTTCATTTTAAGGTTTTAATCCCTTGTTCATCATAACGTCCTTATCACTTTGATGTCTCAACATCGTTACGGAGATCACGTGACGTGAGGGTTCTGCTTTTGTAGTGAGGGTTGTGAGTTGACGCCGAGGAGGGAAACTCCCACTCATTGGACTCCGCCATCCAACAACAGCCAAGCAGAGTGACTCCGTGGTCAGTCCACCAACACCGATTGTCCACCCTCGTGTCAGCGACCTGCGCTTCACGGCCCACGCCAGCCTGTCTCGGTGTCCCGACCATCGTTGTGAAATCACCACCACCGCAACCACCACGTACCGAGCTGTGGGCTGAGATCTACAATGACTGCGACATTCGCTTTGGAACTGTTTGCAGCTGGACCCCAAGCCCCGTGGTAGCTAGCTACACCTGACACGTGGCAGCGGGAGACAGAACCTGCGGTTAAATGGAAGGCAAGGCGGTGACACGGCCGTGAATGGGACAGGATATAGCAAACTGTGGAACTCGATGGGAATTGGCTAGAAATCAGGGGCGATGGGTCATTTGCTGCGATGAAAACGTTTGTCTGGAACGGCTCCTCGGAGTAAATTATGAGAGGGCGGAACATTTTCTCAACGCAAGTTGAACACATGCTGCAGTGGGGGGGGGGGGGGGACCACGACGCTGCTCGCTTAACTAATTTAAGCGGAAAGCCCAACGAAAAAATAAATAACCTTCTGTCACATATACAAGCACACGCACTCCAGGCATGCAGCCTCGTCCAATAAACGTGTGTAGATCACAAGGCCATGCATAAAACCATCGCCACCTTCACGAGGCCGCGCATCTCAAGAAGCGCGGTGCCTGTCTGCTCGACAAGTCGCTCCTCCCATGGCGAGACTCGAAATCCACGGGCACAGAGCGAAGTTGTATCAACAGAGGCGCGTGGACAGGGCCCCACCCCCGTAGAACGGCTGGAGGAAACCGCTCACCACCCATCGGTAGTTCCCTGGGCGCACGCGCCTCGAATGAACAGCCACGTGGCCTTGCAGCTGCACTTAACATCTCATCACCGCGATTTTTGTCCGAGAGACATCGCACGTTCACCCTACGCCTAAACGCAATGGCATCTCAAGACACAGCCACCGAACGGTCTCACGTTCACGTGGCGAGGATCACTCCGTCAGAACGTAACAAGTGTCACCGTGCCTCCTCCTCCTCCTCCTCGTTCACACGAGCATTGCGTGGCGCTGATATCATTTCGAAACCCAGTAACTGGTGCTGTTGGAACTTCCACATTTCTGCGTCGAGAATAAGAATACCCATAGCACTACTGCACTGCTGTTGACTTCCTAAATAATATAGAGTACTTAACTTCACTGGCCCCAGAAGGATGATGGGTTGAATCGACCCCTGGCCAGGATCTTAACTCGAAACGTTTTGATGGTGAGGTGAGCACTCTGCAGCATCTTTATAATGGAGACTAGTCCCCATCGCAGGAATGTGGAATTTCCACCACGGGCACCGATACGCAACTGACATCACTGGTGTAGAAATGCCACCACTTCTCGTGCCGACCAACATCGTCGATTGTCGCTCAAGGGTGAAACAAATAGCACTCGAGACAACACACGTCCTGTCCGATACAAACAAACCCAAACACATTCGTCAACAGCGCTTCCTTACGGGGGATATGTACGATGTGTGACGCTTCCCCTTCGAAGAAGGGTCAGTGCCTGAAACGTCGCCGATGTGTGCTTGTGTGTGTACGTGTGTGTGTTTGTGTGTGCTTGTGTGTGTGTGCTTGTGTGTGTGCTTGTGTGTGCTTGTGTGTGTGTGTGCTTGTGTGTGTGTGTGCTTGTGTGTGCGCTTGTGTGTGTGCGTGCTTGTATGTTTGCTTGTGTGTGTGCCCTGCCAAACCGCAGCAGTGTATCAGCGAACAACTCGATTGTATACATCGCCAGAGCGTCGTGTAAACACCTCGTGCTTTCGCTGGATGTCATCTCCAGCGAAGAGACACATTATGACCCAATTAGCGTCCCTTATCAGATACAAGCTGCTGTCATAATAAGTGTGCACCACGCTATCAACTCATCTCTATCGTTGTCTTCTTTAAACTATTTGAACCATTGTTGTTTTTTTCAGAAGCGACCTGGCAACAAATGATAGGTCGATGCGTGTTGATTCTGAAATGTGGAGGGAGAAACCGGAGACCCCGGAAAATAAAGCCACGCAACCACGGCGAGAAAGAAAATGCAAACTCCAAATATACAGCAGCAGGCGTCAGGCTCGGGATCGAACCGTCGACCTCCTGTATACCAGGAGAGGTAGTTAACACATCGTTGCAGCACACCTCTGTGTCCATGTTTGCATGTTTGGGAGCATTGCGAGTTTCTGTACCTCGAACCGCGTGCTTGTCCATCCCGTTCCCCATTCCTCCTCCGGGATGAGGTCTCCGCGGATCCTCCCGGCTCCTCCCGGCTCCTCTTACCGCAGCCGTCAACTCACGCGGCTTGCCGAGCCTCGGACTCGTTCCGCGCATAGAAGAGCCAGAACCCCCTGCGCCCCGGGCCGGGACTCAAACCCGCGACTCCACAACGCAGCTGCTGGGCAGCTTCGACGCCGAGCTGCGCCCCCTGCAAAATCTCTCCCCAGCAGTCACGCCCAGGCTCGTCGTGGTTGTCCGTGTACACAACACGTGTACACAACACGTGTGCACAACACGTGAACACAACACGTGCACGCACGCACGGAGGGAAGGGCAATGTATGTGCGTTGAAATTCTTTCGCACCGTACGTAGCCAAACGTGCTGATGATCCACTGTGCTCTGGCTTACGATATGGCGTGGAGGAGTTATAACGAGACCACCGCTGCCGTAGTCTGCCTGCCTGTTGCGAGCTCTCGCTCTTCCTTCCCGCGCGGGCGTTTGTTATTTAGTTGTAATGCTGCGCCCTTTTATTTTCTATAGAAGCGTGTTTGCGCGTGTCACGTGGGCCGCGCCGCGCTCCACTCACGCGTCCCTCCCTCCCTCCCCCCGCCGAGAATGCGAGGAGCGAGAAGCGCCACCCCGAGCGCCTCCCCCCCCCCCCGCAACACTCCCATACATTCTACTCGGCGGGGACGGGGGGGGGAGTTCCACATTTTACTTTGGGAAAGTCCGGAACGTCAGGACTGCGAAACCCCCGGACTGTCCCTCCACAGGACGCGTGGTGCGTGCAGGGCGATGTCGGGCCGAGGGGCCGTCAAGCAGGCTGGATGAGCGGTGTCTCCCACCCTCCCCCTACCCCCGTCATATCTGGAGTGGGAATCCTCTCCTAATAGATATCACAACAAAGCACTTGCAAACAAAATCAGATTAAATGAAAACAGCTGATTTACACTGTGTTTGTGTGTGACATTGAAGTTAATGTGTTTATCTCTGTATCTTGTCATGCGCAGTTCACAGACGTTCAATACACGTACATTTCTGATTATTATCAGCAGAGGGTTTCTGTTCATTGTTTTGTGTCAGTCTCAGGATAGTTGTACTGTTTTAACAATCATATCACTCGCCACTGATGTTAGCCGTGCCCATAAGTTAAACTCGTGTGTCCGCGTTTAAGGCGCTACATTCCCAGCGTTTGAAATAATGGGCTATCGAGCAGACCGCCGTGCAATCAGTCCTCCCTTAGGCTTTGGTTACCCCATCATGATGTGAACTCGGTAGTTTGAAGGGATGTCACGCTTTATTACAGAACTCCTCGTCTGGAGACGAGAGCACATGACAAGTCGTGTTCAACACACGAACTAGTCAATGCCATTATTTGGGATCGCGATTTGATTCTAGAATGTATATTTATATGGTTTGATGATTTACTCCATCTGTGTCTTGTTTGTACAGTTTGGTTTTCTCCATTCGACTCAATGGAACATCAACGCATCAGCTACATATAATTTGCATTAATCGCACATAACTTATTCTCACACGCAAAATGCATCATTATGTATTTGGAGGATGACAATCTATTTCAAATGGTGATTCGATGCTTCGTTACATGCATGCGAGAGTATATTCGATGGTGACAAGTTTTATTTTGTTTTACCAGATGATGCACTCTGGTCAACCGAGACAATTACAGAATAGTCAGACTTCTCTGCCATTGTGAGGCTATTATGAGCCGTGTGACGACTGCGTCATGCCCACCAAGGCACGCATCATAATAATTCGCCTGCTGTCGGCATGCCTCACTCCGAGGTGCCGAGAGGGCCAACTCCTCCCGTTCCACGGGGACAATCAAAGTCATCGT